GCTCGTACTGTTCCGGAGCCGGGCGTCGGCCGCCATACCCCGACTATGGAGAGACTGGATCTCACATCGCATTATCAGCTCCATCCTTTTGGAGATTAAAGTGCCATCGTTTGAGGGGCAACATGTTCTTTGCCACTATACTACTCAATCTTGGCCCCCCTTGCAAGATCCAAGCGCTTCTTCTCAGCCTGTTTCTTCAAGGCTACTGGAAGCAGGTCCGGATACCAGGCCTTCGCAGTCTCTACGAAGCTTGTGAGCATACTGACAAACACTGTATCGCCGGCAGAGTCGTCAAATATCCCAGAAAAGAATGTGCCAGAGTCAGTCACTGCCCTCTCCCCCCTAGACAGGTCTGCGACGTGTGGCGGAACATCCACTGCAAAGTCATCCGGCATCAGACGGAGGTTGACGTTTTGGAAAAAAGGAATCGAAAATCGTGAGCCTAAGCGGTTCCCATGCTTATCAAGAAATCCAGCCGAGCCGAGTATCACACGATGCGTCGTCGCGATACAAACTCCGCGTGTAAGAATCTCCAGCAGGCGGCCAATGTTCACCACGAGAGTTCCTGGGATTGGAGGAACGGCGATCCAGTTGCCAGTCTTGTTCTGCACCTCAAGACAGTTGTGGTCGCCTCCTTGGAGCAAATATGTCATGAATGAACTGTCCTTGTGCGGAGCAATTCCATGCCGAGCACCCCCGTTCGACTCCTCCAGAGGAGCAGGGTACATTCGTAGATTCAGGCGACTAAAAGGCGTGTCTTCGAACAGCCAGCTGAAAGAGTTGGCCTCCAGGCCTAAGGCCTCAGATGTTAACGAGATAAAGGATGTGGCCAGGTCTTGGACGGCAGAGCGGTACGTTTCAACGGCCTGGCGAAAGTCCGGCACGGCATTTTGATCTGGCCACTCCAGTGACAGAGCAGTCAGTACCTGCAGTGGGCACATGAAACGGCCTTGGAACGAGCATGCTCACCTGGCTAGGGCCGTGCAAGTTGAGATACGCCAACTCAGCTGGGTGTGGAGGAGGATATTCGGGCCCAAACTTCCATCGCAACTTAAGTTGGAAAAGATCCTCTAAGCTATCCAGGATCGGGTAAGACTCACAAATACAGACTCGTTTTGGCCTGTAATAGCCACAGTCTTCTCAGAATTCATCCCGTTGTACCCAAAGGAAATGCTTGCTGTGAGCCATGTCAATATCCAGCTTCTTTTGCAGAGGAAGACTGAAGAAGGCATTTCGTCTGCTCGAGCACGGGCTTGTTGCACCTCTTCGGGAATCGAATGATTGCTGAGGTAGAAGAATCCCACATTCACAATGGCATTCCGCAGCTGTGAGAGGAATTCCGCCTTGCCGGCTGGGTGCTGTGAGAGAGAATAGTCCACAACAGGGACTTTTGTGAATTCGTCCTTCATGGTGATACGGTAGGTATGGACGTTGGCCAAGATCCGATAATTAACTGCAATATTCTCTTCTGCTTCCCGAGAAGCGTATATATATCTGGACTCCATGATCTCTGCCGTTCTTCAACTTGAATGTTTTTTTTTAGAACGAATGAGGTCTTGCCGGCTTCGACTGAGACAATTTCTCGGTCCGTGACGGCCGGTTACAGAGTGCATGGTCGATTGCGTTTCACGCAATACGAGTTCAGAGTAGCACGTAGGTATTGGAGGGTTTATGTATATAAATGAGGCGGTTCGAGACGGGTAAAGCGGGACATGACATGTACATGAGAGAGTGCGATTGCCTCACGTGGCACTTTAAACCCGGGTTCCATCATGTCAATTCACACAAAGTTTCACATGATGGGCTGGACTATGAGGTGGATATAGCAAGAAGAAGGAGAGAGTTTCTACAATGAACGCAAAGCCTTGCCTAGAGATACTTGACAATCCAACCAGCTGGTACATCGCGTGACTATGGGCTATAGCTGCCTTTGAACCTTCACCAAATGCACAAGCTACGAATTTCTAACGATTCGCGGGGCTCTGCGTCGTCATTGCCTTCTAACTCAGCACTCGAGTGTAGGACGCCTCCGGCAGCAATGCTGCCAGCTCGCTCCTCGTCACTGTCAAAAAATCTCAGAACGAGACACTCCTCGGGGATCTGGTTGTCGATCCAGTACCATTTATGCTGCTGAGAGTACCTGGCCAGATAGCACTCCGCCGGGTGCGTCTCGCAGACACCTTCGCGGCCCAGAGAAGGTGTGGGCACGGCCGCTGGGACATAATCGTCTTCCTTGAAAGTCGTATAGTCCAGAACTGCCAGCGGATCCCGGCGGACTGTTTTGAGTGGTCTCCATGTCGAGTAAAGCGCCCATCGGGGACCGCCGCTATGTTTGTAGCTATCGCTCAGGTCTTTGCCAGCAGCCACGAGTGAATCCTCCACACGGATGATCTCGGCAGCAGCCTCTGCGGTCCTGGGATGAAACCTCCGGATGTGCATTCGGGCCCCGTCGGGCGAGTAATCCAAGTGGATCTTGGACGCGGGACTGCCACCTCCAGAGATAGGGTCGAATCCGATGAATTGGGGAAACCCGGTCTTCAGCTCAGAAGCCTTGTCACCAGCGCTCCCGTGAGCCGCAAGAGAGTCAGTGGCGGACCAGAGCGCACAGCGTAGGAGAAGAGCCTCCGTGACGACGGTTGTGCACCCAGTCAATTGCTTGAGAGCCAACTCAGTGTCGGGAATGACGTGCTGCTTGAGCAGCTCGGGGTCCCTGAATGAAAGAGAGCAGTGCGGAGGTGCGTGCAGGGCTGTTGGCCGCCGAATCGCTGTGAAGCCGTGAGCCCTCAGCGAAACATTGCT